CGTTTCCATATCGCGTGCCCAGCCCTGAGCCTCCCCCGCGAGGGCTCCGCCATTGGCGGGAGGGCGGGAACTGGCGCCTCAGCCGCCGGCTGTTCCCCGGGAGCGGGGTTTAAGGAAGCGAGAAAGGTGCTGTCAGGCGATGGCAGTCTGAGGCGCTGGCACCTTCCGGAGAAGTGCCGGTACCGGCGTGACTGAAAGAGGCCGTGGCCCGAGGCGGGCGGGAGAGAGCGCTGCAGGGCTCTGCTCAGCCCCAGCCAGCACAAATGCAGCTGCTCCACAGCCAGAGACGCTTTCACTTAAAAAAAAATATAAAATCTTCAATAGCATTAAAAAGTGGTAACTACAATTTTAGCCTTCTGTCTCCTCAGCTACAGCGATAAGTTGTCAGTAATGAAAGAGCCGAACTTGGTCAATAACGGTATGACCAAGTGCCTGTCTGTAAGATTTAAAAGAACCACAAGCCTTGGTGGTGATCAGCCGTGTGAAACTAGCAGTCTGTTTTTAGCTCCAGGAAGAAATCAAGATTAAGAAGTCTAAATTAGTCTTCTGAACTAAAAGCTGTAAAGTGATCCTGCCAGGGTGTTGATTCCTGAAGAGAAGGGAAGGGGTGGTCAGGAGCAGAGTGGGAGCCTGCCAGCCCACAGCAGGTTTTTTTCTCAAAAACCACACCACTGACCTTACCTGTTGTCTCCTTTGCCAGCATGTTTTCACTTGCTTGCCACATATGAACACACCAAGTAGATTCAGGAGAACAGCTGAGATTTCTTCAGGATACAGTGAGAGAACCTCAGGATTCAAGGACTTTTTGTAGTAACAAGGCATGTGCTAATCTAGTTCATTTGCTTTGATTTTTGACAGGGGAGCTGGAATGTTCTGGGAATTTCTGTGGCAGAAGTAGGAAACACTGTCAGGAATTACAGTGTAAAACAGTCCTGTCCAACCAATGCAGTTCCTCTTAGAGAAATACATATCCTTTCCAGGCTAATGGTGTGGTCTAAATGAAGTATATCAGTTTTCATTTTTATTATCACAAGGATGCAAAAACTAATTAAAGATGAGAGCAACAGAAATATACATCATCTCTCTAAATACTAAGCTCCAAAGTTTTAATTAACAGCTTTGATTTAGAGATAGCCTCACAGATGTGACTGATTGCATTTACAGTATGGTTATGCAGTTACAAAGGGAAAGTTTACAAAGCTTATTTTAAAAAATAAATCAAATATTCATGACCAGAGTTAGCTGAAGAAATTTTGTTGTACTTGTCCTTCCACTTTGTCCTCCTCTTTGTATTAGTATTTATGCTTTCAGAATTTGGCAGGAAATTTCATCTTCTTTTCAGTCCATCTAAAATAACAGAATTGTTTAGATGTCAGACTTCACATTCTAAAAAATGAATTGGCTTAGCTTCTGATACCACATATGGCATCAATACAAACAATCAAAATCACCCTTTGAAATACATTTTGCTAAAGAACAACTAACAGGATTCAAGTGTTTATGTCCATGTAATACACTACAAGTATGCTTGAAAGAGTGAACAGACAAAAGCTGTTCCTTAAAAACTGCAGTATGTGATTTGTTCCTTCATATACTAGCTTCTCAAGGTGATAGTATATATCTAAGGAAAAAACTCAAATGGTTTAATTACACTTAAATACCAGCCATTTAAGATCTTAAGAATATGTGATGCCATTAAGAAAATGGATATGGTTTTAACTTATGTTCTTGCCAATTTAGTTAACAGTTTTGTAGGTCTCCACATGCAACTGTGTAAAAGATTGTTTCATACCAATTTGTTTTCCATTAAGAGATTTTACAAGTCTAGTTACAGGTAAAATGTATGAGAAGAAGCAGAAGCTTCTAGCTCAATATGCACATTCTCCTGTCTCTTGTGAGCAAGTTGGATGGTATTTTGTACTTTGGATTTTGATTGAACATCTCTATAAAGCACTTTTTATTCTTCATCTCCGACTGGGGAGACTATGAAAATGTCCATAATGTCATATGGCAAGATTAATGTGAGCTGAACCTGCCTGCTAACATGAGTTTATCAATCACCATGTTTGTTAACATTTCTGCACTTGACCATCTACAAGGCAGAGCTCATACTGTTTTCTTGCCACATGAAAACAAATGCAAAATACGAAGAGCAGCATTTATATAGATGATTTAGGAGGAATGTTAATGTAAAAAGACATGGTAAAACTATATAGTTTGAATATTTCCACGACATAACACTGAAGTTTAAAGATAATTTTGTTGTTGGGGAGGGGGGTTTATGATTTATGGCAACATTTCTGTCTAAATCTGATTTAGATAATTTGAAGATAAAACATCTAATATGGTTACATGTGTTTTCTTACCTTGGGGAGTCAATTCCACTGTCTCCTGTAATGCTGTGGTTTTCTGTTCCTTCGGAGCGTTTCTGTTCCGATACCACAGTACGTGCATTCTTAAAAACCACATGGTTTTGTCCCAGAGGGTTTTTGGTTTCTTTGGTCTGGGAGCCTAAAGCACAGCATGCCGCTGCTTCACCCACCTCATAGGTGAAGTTCTGCAAAGTGTCAGCATCTGACTCGGCCTCATTAGCATGGCAGAAATCTGCTACAGCTGAAGCCTTTGCACATTCAGTAAGGCCAGTTTCTTCTTCCTTTCTGTGACTTGTTGGAAGAACCTGACTGCACAAACATCCTTCTTCTGTGAAATCTGGTTTTGGCTGCTCTTTTGAGCCATCTATTGATTCTGCAAAACTAGCACTTTCCTTATATGCATGCTCTCCAGAGTCATGTTTATTTACAGTTGTGTTGTACTGGGTGGGATAAGTAATAACTTTACATTTTTTTAGGGACATAGCTGTCCCCAGCTTCTGCACAGCTTTGCTCCAGTCTCTTGTATCTGAAAAAGCACAGCCATGAGGCAGGTGATACGGTTCATGGCCTTCAAAATTGTCATCCAGATGTAATGAGTTACGGGTGTCACCATCGTGTGCTTTTTGGTACGGAAGATGGTAGTTATCAGTGAATCCTTCACTTTGCAGCTTCACTGAACTAGGATGGCTGGCGCAGTCATATTTAAATATAAGTTCACTCTTTTTGTCAGCCTTTGGCCTGTATTTCTCACCAACTTTTTTTACAAGGTTAGCATTAGCTGTATAATTTGAAAGACAGACATTTTTAAATTCATTTGCTGTTTGATCTAATAACTCACGTACTGTGTCAGCTTTGCACCTGCAATACTCACTTTTCAGATGTAATGAAACTTTTGCATCTTCTTTGCAGACATTATTATCTTCAATATAGGAGTGAGGGGATTTTTTAATATCCCCAGGGGTTTTTTTGACTGTTCTTCTGCTGTAGATGTTTTCTTCCGAAGTATTACTCTCCAGAAAGTATTTACTTTTATTATCTGTTCGCAAAGTACTGCCTTGCAGATAACTGACGTTTCCACTTAAACTGTCTTTCTTTAGTTGGAGGGAAGACCTGTTAGCATGGAGTAGCTTTGCTTTGTCAGCCTGTGTTTCACTAGCCAGCTGCTCAATTTCACAGTCAAAGGTTTTTGAGGAGTCCGAGGACTGTGGTCTTTGCAAAGCCCTTTCTTGCTTTCGAGTCCTGGACTTCAACTGACTGTTAATAGTACCTTTGTACCCTTTTGCATAAAAGTTGCATCTCCATGACATACCCTGAAAAGGGTTCTTAATTTGTTTTTTATATATGACATGGGATTCCACTGCTGCATCAGATGGTTGTTCATTTCTGATAGGCAGTGAAATGTTCTCTTCCAGTTTCTCCTTTTGGGATGTTAGATCGTGTATGTGAAATTTCCTGTTGTTTCTGCTAATCTGCTTCTTTTTCTTTGTTTTGGTTTTCCTGGTGTGTTTTGCTGTTTTATTTTGTGTCTTTTGAATACAATCCTTTGAAAGATGGTCCTGTCTGACTATCGACATTTCAGCTGAGGTACCCTTACTGATGTTTTTTTTCTGCTCCTCAAACTTCTGCATTAATATTGTGTGTTTAATCAAATTATCAACTGTAAGAGCAGGGTTAATACGCTTGATGATTTCATGTTCAATATTGCGTGGAATATTATCTAAGTCATCTTCATCCCTGACTGGCCACTCCCTGGGAGGAAACTGGGCTGAAAATGTAGAGTACTCCTTCTTACGTTTTTCTTTTTTAGAAGCACTTCTCCAGAAAAGGCCAAAGCCAAGCCTTTTGCTTTTCAGTTTCTCTTTCACAGATGTTAGGAATTTGATGGTGTCCCAGGAATGGTTTTCAGCTGATGTGGAGATCCCTTGGGTTTGAATGGAAGGCTTCAATTCACTGAAGCTTTTCTTACTTCCTCCACTAGGTTCATGGTTCATCAGCTGCCGATGACCTTGTTCACAGACCGTGTTCTGGTCAGGGAAACAATGGCAGGGTCTGTAATTGGATAGTGTAGGAATGTTTTTTTTCACTGGGTCTGCACAATGCTCAGCGTTTACCAGATAAGTGATGGAAGGTGATGAACAGCAACAACTGTTCTCCAATGGGACCATTTTATTGTCTTCTGTGGCATCATTTGTGATAAAGTATGTATTGGGAGTCACAATGAAGTATCCTTCTCCCGTATGATAGATTCTCCTTTCTTTAATTAGAGTTCCAAGGATATTATATAAGATACTGTGAGAGGGAACTGCAACGCCTACAACAAAGGTACAGATATTTCAAATCAGAAATAAGTTTTCAAATAAAATGGGAGCTGGCCAAAAAATAACTTACATACAACAGATCTGGAAGCCAAACTGAACATGAAATATCCAATGTATTTAGTTCACAGGATTTCAAAAGAAGTTTGAATCTGACCTGGCAACTGAAGTTTGAGTAGGGCATACGCAATTTCAACATGAAAGTGTCCAGTATCACCAGACAAAAGGCAGGAATTTTTTTAATACATCACTACTCTGCTGAGCTTTCAGAACCAGCAATTGTTGTTGCAACCAGTTGTCCTCACCCGCAGCCCTGGGCTCCCTGCAGAACAGGGACAGCCCCACTCTGCAGCAGTGTCCACGTGTGGAGGACAGCAAGGGCTGCCCCAAATCTTGGGGACAGCACAGGCGGCAGCCCTGAGGCCTTCTGGGCCGGCCAGGGGAGGGCAGCACAGAAACATCATCCAGCTAGGGCCCTGGTAGGTGCAATCCTGTCGGTGTTTTACAGATTAGTAGAAATCTCTCTAACTCTGCCACAGCCATTCCTCACTGATGAGGCAAGATCACCCCTGAGGAAGAAGATAAAGGCCAGCTGCATTTCTGGTTGTCACTGCAGCACTGCTGTGACAGAGCTTAAGATGTTCTCCTTCGAATAAGCAAGGATGTTCTCTTCGTGTCTGTCAGGATATGGTATTCATGAGAGAGAACTTCTGCCAGGTACAGACCAAACAGTGTGTTGTTCAAAGCATTTTCCTCTTGGCAGATTATTTAACAGTGGCTTTTAGCACTGTCTCTGAAGCTTCTGGTATAATTTTGTCAGATGACAACTGCTAACCTAAGTTTACCTCACTGAGACTGGTCTCAGCTACTGGTTTTCCCTCAGGTGTCACAGTCCCAGAGTCATTAGTCTAGTGACATCTGATCTACTACGTTAGGCCCTGGCTGATCTCCTGCCCACAGGAATGAAAACTTCCAGCAAGGTGAAAACATAGCAAGAAATACGCTCTCCCTACAAAGTTTGAGAGTACTACTTCTAGCTGACATAAAAATGCTACCTCGTGGTTGTCTCCGCACATATGGACTACATCATGTTCCTGGCAGAGTTCTGGGCCAGTTTATGGGGTTGCATTAACATTCTTCCCACTAGTGAAAATGCCTACCAGACCAACCCGTAACGCTTGCAGGGCTGTAAGATTAAGACTCAAAAGAGGAAGCTCAGCATCAATCAAAGCAACCTCCTGCAGAGGGCCATAATGAGCCTTTACAGTCTCACATGCACACACACGCACTTCAGTATTGCAGATCTTAGGGAAATTGAGCATTTTTCAGATTGAAAAGAAAACGCAGCATTTAAGGGAAGTGACTGCTACCTCATCAGAAGAGAAGGATTAAAGCTCATTAGTGTTAATAATTTGCTTTCAGGAAGGAAGGGGTTGGAATGTGACCAACAAACCTGAATTTGAGGTTGGTTGTGGGTTTTGATATCAAACACCAGATGTAGACTCCTACCCAGTCCCTTTACTGTCAAAGTAAGCTATGTTCCCATCTCTTAAAGGAGGACTCCAAGTCTCTGTGATCTGACACACAGTCTATTTTATGCTGTTCCATATTTGGCACCTAAATACCCCATCTATGCCTTCCCACCCTCTAGAAAGGGCATACACTCAACATGCTACTGCACTCAGTTCCCTTGTATTCTCAAAGAAGACTTAATACAATCTGTAAAAAGGATTACACTGAAGACAATGTTAGCGATGCTCACAGATTGAGGAGGAGTATGCACATTTATATATGTTAACAGCTGCCTGTTAATTTATATTCATATTGCCAGCTTTGCTTGTAAACATTCAGTGGTCACTGGCCCAATAATCAGAAACTCAGGCTTTATGATACAGTCACTTTTAAAATGAGGGAGAAACGAACACATTACCTGGATAATTTTTGACTAACTGCTCCGTTAAAGTTTCCTGTGTGACCGTCACATGATTTGCATTCATGTCTGATATCGTACGGCATATTCCTTCTGCCAGAGGAATGGAGTCTGGCTGCAAGAGAGGATTTATGAGAACAAGGGTCACATCACCTGAAGTCCACAAGGAGGAAATAAATAAAAGATCGTTTGAATGGAATAGTGTTTCATTTTTTCTATTAGCTGTGACAGATTTTCACTGAAAATTTCTTGTGTTGCCTCAGAACAAGCAACTTATCCTCAGCTAATTTTCTTTGGCAAATTACTCAGAAATATTTCTCAGAAAAGGGACTTTTCAAGTGCCTTTGTAATGAAGGAAACAGAAGGTTACCTTAGGCATGTTTGTTTGTTATTAAATTCCATCTTAAACAATCATTTAGTTTAATAAACAGGGAGCCGAGAGAGAATTACGTCTGATGACTGCTGACTTTTTAGATGACTGTTTGCATATGAAACCATGCAGGACCTGTATTTCTCTAAGTAGCTAATGAAAAAGGTCAACATCCAATAATCTTAAGTACAAAATCTTTTCACCGAGTCAGAATGCAGGGGAAAAAAGACCAGCAACAAACTTTGTCCCTTGTCTAGCACATATATTTTAATAGAAGTGTTAAAAATTCCATTTTTAGACTGTGCTCTAGAATGAGAGATTATCTACTAGACTTGGCAGAGGGCATAAACTCATTACAACTGCATGCATTTTTTAGGCTACATCACTATCTCTCCGGGTGAGAGACAGTAACATTGTCCCTGTTCTGCATGACGAAAGCAGAAGCTGAGAGGGGTTGCAAGCGTGGCCCAGCTCCCCTGGTAACTTTGTAGCCCAGGGGGCTGCAAAGTGTCTTAGTCCTTCGACTCAACTCCCCCATCCATAAAACCCAAAAATAAACACTATCCTCTCTCCTCTGCAAGATGGCAAGGCCAGTAAGAGCGAGCCCAGCCGGTACTTCTGGTGTGGTACCAGCGAATGATGTAGGAAAACTTGAAATAAATATTTTCCCTGAAAGCTGGTGACAAAGAACAAAGCAGGGACTCACCTGAGGTCTGTGCATACAGTAAAACAATGATCGCATACACGTTCTCAGACAAACAAAAAGCTTTCTTCTTTTTTTTTTTAATTAGATCGGTCATCGGTTCCCACTCCCTGGTGGTGTCCTGTGCTTCCCTGGTCTGTGTTGCACAGAAAGTCCCTAGGTATCCTCAGCTGCCAGAGCCGGCAGAAGGCACCGGCGACTCCTGGTTACTTCACAAGGCAAAAACTAGTGGTTTTACTGCTAACAGTAACTTCCCTGCAAGTAAGAAGTGACATTTTAAATTAAGTGATATTAGCGTTTAACTAAACTGCAATTGGATAGGCTGTTGGGTGACTCTGTAACCCGATATTTGTCCTTCAGGCAGAAAACTACAACAGAAACATTTTTCTGAGTAAATGAATCAAGCAACAGCACTTTGAAGAGCTTAAATTGTTCTTGACCTTTGTTTTACAACTGCTGCTACATTCAACAAAAAGCACTCAGAAAAAAGTCCTGGCATACAGTTTCCTCGGTGATGTTGCTAGGATACTCATCGCAGGTGCAGAAACCATTGCAAGCTTTCTTTTTGTGTGGGAAAAGGCCATCAGCATCCAGTAATAACTCTTGTGAAGAGTTTGCTGGCTAAAGTCTCTGCATTAGGCACACCATACTGCTGCCTGTTTTACCATTTGTTCCTGCAGAGCACCAGACTGCTAAGGAGTAAAATACCAACATTTATCCATTATCTTTATTATTATTATTATCTTGCTATCATTGTCTGCATCTGTCTCACAGCCTCAAATCCCATCTCTCCATTCAGAGAAGGCCCTTTCAGAATAATATTTAAAACAAAGATTAAGCAAAAGCTAACTTGATTCTGAAGGAAAAAAAAAATACACACACACTAAAATTGTGTTCAAATGCAAGTCTATAAAATGATTGTTGCAGATCAATAGTGACAGAGTACACACATGCTAAAAACACAAATAGTAGATATCATTTCCTCATGACTTTTTGAAATAAAATCTGAAATAGTGAAAACGAGAGTTAGATCATTGGCAACACTGATAAGCAATATGGAAAAGGCCCAGGCAGCACCCTACAAGTGTCTATCAAGTTCTTATTAAAAACTTTGTTGATTTACTTTCCACAGCTAAATAACTGTTGCAGTTGTTCTTCAGTTGTTCTCCCAAATTTGATGGAAATACCTAAAAGCTGCATCCCTTAGATTTGCACAGGGAGCAGCCTTAATGATTTGTTCAATCTATGTCTCACAGGCCTGATGCAAAATCACCAAAATGCCATCCTTGTAAAAGCTCTTCAGTATCTGTCTCTTTTTACAGCTCAAAAAAAGGCTGCAGAATCCCCTGCTCCCTTCCCTACTCTACATAAACCATCTGATGAGAATCATCTTCCTGGTTTCTTCACAGCTTTTATGAAGGACTTGCTTATACCTATGTGCAAGGTACCTGTCAGCAGTCAAGGAACTCAGACTAATCCTCCTGATCATTTAAAATACAAATGGTTCCCATTTCACGCTCCGCAGCTCTTCCAGAATCATGTCTACCAACGCCAATCTAGGCAGCTTGCCAGTACTCATATATTATTTTCCTTCAGTTTGGTTTACCTGTCTATTCAAACTCTGCTCATTACCTGGACACCTGAAACCCAAGAATACCCTTTTGTAGCACATATCGGTCACAATGTGGGGAAGTCATCTGTAATATGAGCATCAGATAAAAAAAACTCAGTGCACAGGAAAGCTTCTGGGTATTCTTGACTAGCACAAAGTGACTTTTGTTCCGTCTCTGTAAAGTGAGCTTTACCATCTTTCACTGCGTTGTTTAACAGAATTTTTGTCTCTCTCGCTCTAAGACAAATTACATAAAAGGGAACTTTTATCTAGGTAAAAAACAGGCTAGTTCTGGGGAAGTGAATAGAGAGGCATTTTATTACAAGAGCGTTCAATTTACTTCTTAAAAGTTAGGGTAAATGATTTATATAACAAAAAAGGTTTAACAGTAAATTTATTCCAAGGGGAAAAAAAATGCAAATCAAGAATAAACTCCCTTATATGATTCCACTTACATCTGTTGAGACAGAGAAGACACAGCACATGGAAATAAAAGATTGACTTTTCAGTTTTGTAGCTGGAAAGATCTATCTTGGAATTGCTTTGTATGCTCTGTTAAAGTTGAACATACAGAGATCCCACAGATCTGGTGCCTCTTTGCGTGAGAGCCCTGGTATGTTTGATGTACTTTACTTTTTGCATAAATGCACCAGGAAAGCCATAAGAAAGTACAGCTCTTTTAGAACTGCCAGGCTTCTGCTTTTCTGTAGCCTATAGCACACCTTGGTCACATAGGAAAAATTACAATTTATAATTAAAGATAAAAAATTTTAAGGAACAAAAAGTTAATAAGAACATCCTAGAAAGTTGGGAACTGTAGTGAAACACTTTTTGAACATTAATGAACATTAATTTTACAAGATGTGTTCATATTAAAGAAGAAAAATTCTATGCGTATTATGAAGACAGAGTTAACATCATTAAAATATTTTCAATTTTAAGTATATATTAGGGAAACTATTTTGGCACAAATGTGTACTAGAGGATGTTGTCAGAAACATCCTTTTACTGAAGCAAAGAGTAAATAGTTCAATTGCATTAAAATTATCAAATATTGTAACATGTTTGATCTGTTACTGAAAGCTCTCAGGAACAGCAGACAATATCTTTCTGTTGTTTGATTATTTAGTACAACTCTCAAAGAGAGAAGCAAAACGATTAAGTGTCAGTTAAGGTCACTGACACTTCTTCAGTTGATATTAAAGAATCCACAAACACATCAAATTTCTATATCTACTGATTCCTGCAAGAACAGACACCCCCAAATCAGGACAATTAGGCAAAAAATGTCCTCCTTTTAGACTCAACTGCTGTTTTTTACAAACAGCGGGTGATGCCACCGACTTGTAAAACAAACAAAGAAACAAACACCAACCACTTTTTCTCCCTTTCCAACAACACCCAAAAGCCTAGTCCCAACTGCAAGTGTTATGGACTTTTAAAGTTTTAACGTTCCCAGCCAAGAACCATTAAATCCTTCCTCTAATCTTAGGGCTAACAGCAACCCACAGCCATCTTCTCTTTCATCAGCAATAAAAAAAAAAACCACAGGCAGGTATGGTGAAAACCTGCAAAAAAGGCAAGAGCTCTCCCCTGCAATCTCGGTTCAAATCCCCGATAGGAACAAGTTATACAGCACACACCAAGATGCTCAGTGTGCTACGGTTTCCCTTAAGCCAAGCACAGTGGGAAAGTTTTCCCATTGAATCTTGTATCTCTGATCTTCAGAGAGATCAACCTCTTCAACACTTACCGAGGCCACTGACATGTCCACTTAAATGCTCCAGGAACAGTTTGGGAGCAAGTTTCCAGCTCCAAAGGTACTGACTGAACGCATGAGCAAGCATGCAGCTTCAAACAGACTGTTGAAAAGAAAACAGCACTTCTGCTTCCTTGAAGACTAGCAGGCAAGTTGTCCAGTGGAGATCTGTGTTCCACCTGCAACAGCCGGTAGACAGCCAACAAGCAAAACCGTATAAACACATCTGCCTTGGGGCCATCCCTGCTGGCCCCTGCGCAACTGGCAGAGAAGTTGAACTATGAGCAACAGCATTCAAGATAATTGTTTTTCATATACTTTAGCATGCTGATAGCTTTTAAGTCTATTCACATATAGCATTGAACATAACCAGCACAGCTGATAGCAAGGAAAATCATCTTTAACCATTTCAACACTCAGCATCAGGCTTGATTGTAAAACAGATTGATTCAAAAGCTTAATTGCAGGGAGGTAAAAATAACCCAGATTGAAGCAGTCCCGGGCAAGTTGCAAAATCATCAATGACTAACTCATGGAGCCAAACAGCAGAACAGGAATAAACAAGTCACTGGCAATGTCTCTGGCTCCTTTAACTGTCTGCAGGTGGTGCCATCCATTGCTACAGGAATTTGACACAAGCACATATTTTCCACTTGGCCTGGCCCAAAACAGCCCCTGAAAGCCCTTTGCAAGCCTCCACTAAAACAGCTCTGTCTTTTCCTTGCTTCCAGCCCTGTCCTCTCTTCTGAAATAAATCTCAGACCATCCAAATAGCTCTTTATTGTCAAAAGCTTTGTTCTAAGCAGAAAGCGTTGCTGGGTGGTGGTTAGATACTTACCTATACAGTGAAAGACTAGAAAAACATCATCACGCAGTTGTGCATTCCTGTCTCTGCTTAGCTAAAGGTCAACTCCAACTGCTGCAGTATTCCCAGAGCTGACTCCTTTTCCTGGATATGTGCTGTCAAAGAAAAGGCAGTTACAAAAAATATACAATACAAAGCTACAGTCATGGAAATAAGATATACCCATGGTCATGTCTCCCCTCTCCAGAACGGACCAAAATTAATTTTTTTGCACTGGCTTCAGTTTACATTTACCCCAGCCAAGGAAAGTCACAGACTAATCCTTCAGAGAAACAGCACCCACAGAGCTCTTCAAAAGAGAACATAGCCCCATGCAGAGGGTTTCCAGCAAACCATGAATCAGGGGACACGTGACAGCTATTATGTCCAACTCACTCCCAGGCAACACTTGGCAAATCCCACCCACCGCAGAAGAAGCTGTCAGCTTGGTGCAGTTGTAGCTTCCCTCAGACCCAGGCCTCTGGCCTGCAGTGAGGACAGCAGCCACCATCACACACCGACATGGAGAGAAACAGTCCTCAGATCTTGTTTCAGGGCATATCTCAGTGCAAGGAGGTTTTTTTCATTCAGCTGAGAACCAAAAAACCAAAACCCACCAAACCAACAACAAAACAACCCACAGATAAAAAAACAAAAACCAGTTTAGAAATGAAAAGCAGTATCTTTACTACCACAGGAGGTCTCAGAGGAATTGTTTGGATTAAACAGCTCTAGTTTGAGCTCGGACCTTAGCCCACAGTTCGCAGATGTTGAAAATGTAGAACAATTCCAGAGGAAAAAGTAAATGATGCAGTCCATGAAGTACCTAAACAAGTCATCTGAATGACAGGTTAGCTTTGCTGCAGTGTTTTCTTGGGAACAAGCAAAATATTTCATCATTTCAATGGAGTTTTCAGCCTTGGAAACTCAGCATATAGCTGGCCATAGTCCACAAAAGAGCAATCCCATATCCAGGAAAAAAAAAATAATTGCTACAAGACAAAAAATAAACCTCACTCTTCTCTTTTTTCTTCTTTTTTAGAAACCAGATTAAAGTTCACAGAGGTTCTGTTTTATTTCAGTTTTTCAAATAAGCAGTTTTTCAGCTTTCAAAACAGACTGAGTTTGCTAAACAAACAGCAGTTGCAGTTTCAGTTGCTTCATTGCCCAGAAATCTTTCTGATTCAGTACAAATCAGGCTGCTTATGGAGAAGCTGTGCACTGCCAGTGAGTAGAACATGAATTGCTGCTGATTCATCAGTAGAAGATAAATATACTAGGGAAAAAAATAGTTTCAAATCATATATTAATTATTCCCAAGGGCTTCACTGTATTTTCACCAGTGAGGGCGGTTTGTTGGGGGTTGCATATTGAGCTTTCTGTTTGTTAACAGTGTGGCAGCACTGTGTCACAGTAATGATATGCACCATTAGCATCTCTACTTCAGTTCTCCCAGCAGTGTTTATATAAAGCATAGTAAAGAACTGGCAGAGTGGCTCTGGGTGTATGTTGTTTTTAGAAATGCAGGTACCTACATTTCTCTAAACTGATGTTTTAAAAAGCCCCAAACAGATAGCAAGAAAATCATTATGCAAGTATCACAGCAATTTTATCAACTTAAAGAAAACCATGCTGCCACCAGCCTCAGCTTCTCTGTGCATGTCATGGTTCATTATGCAAATTTTTAACTCATGGACTCTATAATCAATAGCTCACTAAAGCTCTCTAAGTATGAGAGAAGCAGCAAAGTTGTCTGAATAAAGCCACTCACCTTTTTCTGCTGATACATCTAATCAATTTTTATTTGGTATTGAACGAAAGCAAGCCTTTTAACAAGAGTCCTCCACAACAACAAAGGCCAAGAGCATCCTGGGCTGTATTAACAGGAACCGAACCAGTAGATCAAAAATTTATTATCTCCCTCTACTTGGTGCTTATTAAACCACATCTGGCATACTAAGTCTAGTTTTGGGCCCCCAATACAGAAAAGACATCTATAAATGCGGATAAATTCACCAAGATGGTCAGGGCTGGAACACTTGCCCTGTGAGCCAAGGCTGAGGGAATGGGTCTTGTTGAACCTGGAGAAGAAATAGTTCTGGGGGACCTGACAGCAGCCCCTTGAGAAGATGGAGCCAGGCTCTGCATAGCAGTGCCTGGTGGTAGGATGAAAGACAACAGGCATCAGTTGGAACAGGAGAGGTTCAGCCTGGCTATAAGGAATACCTTCTTGCCTTTAAGGACAGGGCAGCAGTGGAGCAGGTTGCCCAGAGAGGTTATGCAGTCTCCAGTCCTGGGGAGTTTCCGTGATGTGACTGGTAAAGCCCTGAGCAACCTGGTCTGACCCAATTGCTGACCCTTCTTTGAGTAGGAAGTAGGATAGACTCCCAGGACTAAAATAGTAGTCCAGTCATCTGGTATAGTTGGATGCCAGTATGTGTGCCTCCCACAGCCACTCTCACCCCCCACTTCGACCACCCTGCTTTCCGTAACCCAATGCAATCGCACTTTTGACCTCCACTAGCTCTGAAGTTTTCTTGAGTTACACCAAGTTAAAGAAAAAAGTTACACTTACATCATGTTGTTAATGAGGCCATGCAAAACAGCATCATATGGTAAAACTATTGGTTTTCTCTTCAAACAAATAGCTACTGTTTTCATAATATTTTTTCCCATAACTGAACTCCATCTGTGCAGTCTTGTTGTTAGAGCTGGTGCTGTCCACAGTGATGGAGTGGACGTGTCCTAAAGCAAGATGGCCATATAGAAAAGCTAAAACTAGCCTTGAAAACTGCCTTGATTTTGAAACCCTACCAATGACCATAGCCGAGGCACTATTAATGAGTGCAATTGATTTCATTAATTACATGTTATTAACACAAACTGTTGTCTTTTCTGACTGAGACTGAGAAAACGTTTACACTGTTCAAATTACCCTCATCCTAAAAGAGCATTAAGGCAGTTAAGATTCAAGTTGCAAGAAATTCAAAAGACTGAGTATAGCACAGCTCAGCCTGTTTTCTTGAGTTTTGTTTTCTCCCTCAAAAGACAGAAGCAAGAGCTGCTTCTGCTGAAAATCTTTGGCACTGAGAAATATACAACACGTATCAAGTTCTTCACAACTAATCTTGGAGGTTATTTTTAGAGAAATTCAGAGTAAATTAAACTGAATGGAGCTTATTATAAAAAAAATACACACTCCTGGT